CGCCCGGGTCCCAGCCTCGCGCGTCGGGGGCGGGGCCTGCGCGGGGGCGGGGCGAGCCTGGGAAGTCACGTGGGCAGTAGCCGGGCGATGCTGCCTCCCAGCGGCGCGTGCGGGGTTAGGTTGCAGGCCGCGGGGATGCGAAGAGAAGCCAACGAGTGCGGCCACCGACCTAAAGCCACTTACGTGGGCTGGAGTCCATTCTACCCTGCGCTCGCCCCGAACGCCCTACCGTCCTCCCTCGGAGGGGTCTGGGTTCCCGAGGGGGGTCCCCTGAGATTTGTCTGTGACCTCGCCTTCTGCAGCAGCTGTCCCCCGGGAGCCCTGGGCTCCCGCTTCCCTGGGGGCGCTGCTTTGCCAGCACTCTCTTGGATCTCCAATGGGCTCTCCGGTTTATCGCCAGTTTTCGTGTTAGATTCTTGAGCCCGATTTCACTGCAGGAAGGAAGAGAGAGTTGAGCCCTGTGCCCTAGTCCGGCGCTGCAAGGGGCCTTTCGGCCTGTATTCAAGGGTGGACAGGACTTCCTGGCTCCAACTTCCTTCAGGGAGCCCAGTTCTCATTCCCCACTCAGGCCCGCCCCACACAGGGTCTCCAGCCTGGACGCCCCGCCCAGTTCCGGGGCCCCTGTACTGGCTACTCCACCATGGCTCCCTTTCTGGCTCTGGCAAATGTAATGTCCTCAGGAGGCACTGGACTGGGTGCTGTCCTGGAATGCTGGCTCAGGGTGGGGTGTCCAGCAGGCCGGCATCACAGGAGCAGTCCTCAAAGCAGGGCCTGGGCAGATGCCAGCAGGCAGGAGATGCGCTAAGCAGGAAGGGTGGGGGCTGCTGGGATCACAGTGGGATCCCAAGACAGGCCCAGAGCCAGCCCCGCACTGTAGAGACAGGATGGCTGGTACTACACGACATCTCACAGCTGTGGGAGGAGCTGTGGGCGGCACAGGTCGGCCACGCAGGAGGACCGCTGCTCCGATCTACTCATCACTGGGTCTCTCTGGGACCCTGCCTGGCCTACAGGTGGGAACAGCAGGCTGGGCACAGGCTAAGAGGGACATCCGATGCCCCAAAGCTTAGTCTGGGTCCAGTGGGACTTTGATACCCTTGGGCCATGGGCAGCTCATGCCAAGGTGGCTTTGGGGTGGATATAAAAATGAATGGCACACATCCAGAGGGGCGGCAGACACAGGAAAACACCTGAGGATGGGAAGAGGGGGTGACAGTGAGATCGCTGAGGAGCAGAGCGCCTGGCGCTGTCCTGCCCCTGCCGTCCGTCTCTGGGGTGAGGGAGCGACACCCTGGGCAGTCCTCCCAAGTCCAGAGCAGCAGGTTCCTGTGTCCCAGGGCCAGGAGAATCCTGGTGGTCAGAGCCTCCACAGTCAGCCCTCTCGGAGGCCCTGCCCCTCTCTCTCCCATTGATGGAGCTCGGGCAGGTGGTCACGAGCCCTCATGAGTCCTTCGCCCTCCTGTGCTCCCTCGTCCTCTGTCGTAGGAGGAATGACCCCCCACTTTCAGGATTAACGTAAGCAGTAAATGACACAGGCACACCCTTGGCATCGGGCCAGGCCCACAGACACTAGCTGTTACCTGCCATCTTCACCCAGAAATGCCCAAGCAGGCCATGCTGGCCTTGGGGGAGTGGCTGCTATAACGAAGTATCACAAACTGAGTGGCTTAAAACAACAGAGATTTATTCTCTCCCAGGTCTGGGGGCCAGAACCCCAAATCAGCATCACTAGGCTGAAAACCAGGTGTCGGCAGGGCCACCCTCCCTCCAGAGGCTCCTGGGGAGGGTCCTTCCTGCCCCTTCCGGCTTCTCGCGACCCCCTAGCATCCTTAGTGTTCCTTGGCTCTTTGCCTTCTTGTCACATGACCTTTTCCTGTTGTTGGATTCAAGGCCTGTCCTGGTCCAGTGTGACTTCTTCTTAACTTCATTCTCTCTGCAAAGGCCCTGTTTTCACGGTCACAGGTGCACGAATTTGGGGGGACACTATTTAGCCCACCACAAGGATCGCAGATGATGTCACCTGGAAAATTTGGAGGACAGCATCCAGGGGCTGAGCTGGGTTCCAGGCGCCATGTGGAAGGGCCGGCCCCGAAACCAGAGGACTGATGAGGGGTCGCAAGGCCATTGGCCAGGGAAGGGGCCAGCAGGGCCCAATAGCCACCACTGGGGCCTGCCCCATCCGCCACCCCTCCAGCTGGGGAAACCTGGCAGAGCTCCATGCTGACCATGGCCAGGGAGGAGAGCAAAGGCCACCCAGAGCAGGGGGCAGTGTAGGTCTCAGCCTGCAGGCAGTGTAGGGGCCCCAAAGCAAGTCCCCCAAAGCAGGGACTATGTGAGCCCAGCTCGGGAGGCCGAGGCCCCCAGGCCAGCCTCACGGAGAAGCCCTTTCTTCTGCTGCCTGACAACCCGGGAAGGACAGTCCCACAGAGTCTGGAGTTCAGCTTCCCACGACTGCAGAGGGCCGCTGTCATGGTCTCGCCCCCGCATCCCAGCTCCTCCAGGACGAGGAGGCCCGGCCCTGCAGGCAGGGAGCAGAGCAGCTCCTGGCACAGGGAGGGGGTGTGGGGACCTTAAAAGACACTGAGTAGCTCAGGCTTTGGAAGAGCACGGGAACCTCTGGGGCAGGGTGGCCCGGGCCTGGGGTCTGTGCTGGGACCAGCAGGCTCTCCCTACTGCCTGGGACACCACTCCGCCCGCTCTCCATCTGAGTCTGCTCATCCTTTTGGCCTCAGGGACAAGCTGAGTCTATGCAGGCGTGTCAGAGGCTAGAGAGCCCACCCATCCTGGGCCCTCCACTCTCAGGCAGGCGCCCCCTCCCCGCCACGCCCCCGCCATACCCAGCTGGAAGGGGATTTTTTCTAAACATTGTCAGCGTTAAAGAGGTCTGACTTTCTCTTTATCTCAAAGGCATAGAGTCATGTGGAGAAAAACCTCACCTCTGGACTCCAAGGTACAAGGGCCATGGCAGAAAGCACAAGCTCCGCCCCCAGGCCCACTCCTGAGGGACCTGGGATTCTCCCTGCCCTGCGCCCCACCGCGTGTGTGTGAGTCTGTCTGTCTATCCCTGACACGTGTGCACACCTGTGCGAGGACACCTAGAGAGAGGTCCCTCACGTGAGACCACTGGATCGAAGGCCGCTCACATCAGCCACCTACAAGATGCTCTGTCTGGCAGGTTGCCAGCAAAGGAGGCTGTGCTGACGCCTTCATCAGAGCTGGGGGTGGGCTGATGGCCTGAGTTCAGGTGACCACCTGGCTGGAGGAACCGCCCCCTCAGGTGTTGGCTCGCTCAACAGCTGGCTGCTGTGGGTCTGCAAACGAAGACGCCCATCCCCCCCAGGGTGCTGAAGGCACCTCTGCGGAATCTGCCACTCCCTGCTCACCTCCTCAGCTGAACTCCAGGCTCCACCCTAATCAGCATCTTCCTTCCGGGAGCCCCCTCCTCTGTGGAGCTGCTTCACCCCCCGCCAAACATGCTCCCCTCCTGGGGCTCCCCTGCCCCCAAAGTGACCTCGGGGCTCCCCTGCCCCCATATGACCTCGGGGCTCCCTTTTCTCCTCTCACGTGACCTTGGGGCTCCCCCTGTCCTCCGTGTGACCTTGACATGCTTCCTGTGACACTCAGCACTTCAGTGTTGAAACCCCTTCTCTTTCAATGCCCACTCGGTCTTTCATTCAGTGGTATCAAGTAAGCGCCTACTGCCTGTGCTGTGCTGCTGTGCGCTTGCGAGCCCTGGGGTACAGCCGGTCCCCGCCCTGCAGATCCCCCGAGGGGGCATGCTGTGAGCGCATGCGAGGTGCCGGGGGTTCAGCTGGTCCTTGCCCTGCAGAACCCCTAGGGGGGTATCTGGGTGCGCATGCGGGGTCCCTGCCCTGTAGCCCTCTGGAGGGGTGGCTCAGCTTGATCAGCACTCACTGAGCACCTGCTGTGTGCCGGGAATGGGCAGGCATGGGGACAGAATGAACCAGATGCTGTCCTCTGACCAGAGAGGAGGAGAAAGAAAGAGTATAAACAGGTCCCCTCGGATCACAGCCGAGGGGAAGCCAGGAGGCGTGCCGGCCTGGCCCGGCCTCAGGAAGGATGAGTTGGCACCAGCGAGGACCTGGAGCCAGGGCACAGAGGTGGTTGTCCCCACTGGAAGGACAGCTCCTCGTAGCCCAGGCCATGCCTGTGTGTCCACTGCTGAGTGCAGTGCCTGGAAGACAGCTCGGTGGCGCATGTGGGAGGCGTGTGATCTAAATCCGGTCTAGTGCGTTAGAGGTGCTTCTGGGTTCCCGGAGCAACTAAGCCACCCACAGGTTAAGGAGCTTGCCCACGCCACGCAGCTAATCTGTGGCCGGCTGGAGAACTTAAAGCAGTGCCCGGCAGCCTGCCCTGTTCGTGGAGGGCACCCCAGGCTCTGCCTGCTCTGCATGGCTTCCCCGAGGGCCTGGCAGCCCCGCTCAGCCCCTCGCTGCCCCTCCAGCAGCTGTGCCTGCGCTGTCCTAACTCCACTTTCTAAGGCACCTGCCGCTTCTGTACAAAGAGCCATCATCTGTCCCCAAGATGGCACCAGGTGGTCTGGAGCCTGGAGGTCTTACAGCGTGGAAGCAGGATGTGGACACGCCTGCTGGTGGCCGGTGGCCGGTGTGCAGCACAATAGGGTGGCTTGCAGCCCTATCCCGGCTCAGGTGGTGTGGACCTTGGCTCCTGCTGAGAAAGTGCCCTGCACAGGCACCTCACCTGGCAGCCGGGGGCCTGCAGGGTGGAAGGTGGGCCTTGCCGCCGCCTCCTGCTCCCTCACTCTGGCCCTGTCCTGATATTTACTATTTGTTCTGTGATGTCACGCTCCCTCAGGTGGAGCGCAGACCCCCCAGCCCACCTCGATGACTCTGTGCCCACGCCCAGACAGACACCTGCTGAGGCAAAGGTGGCAGTGGTCACTGGCCGAGCACGTGGGCAGCTGCAAATGAGTCCTGGGGGGTGCAGGGAGCCCCAAGCACCTAGCACATGCTCCATTGTCCCACTGGATGTCGCTTTATGAAACACAAATGCAAAGAAGAAGCATCCAGAAAGTCAAGCTGAGGACCGCAGAGCCTCAGGCCCCGAGCCGTCTGAGTGTCACCGGCGCACCTCGAGGCCGGTCCTGGGTTGAGGAACCCAGGACACTGTGAGAACTCTCCACCAGAGGTTCACGAAGATGGGGGACCACAGACGATGAGGGTGGGGGGCAGCAGACTGGGGAGGGGCCAACGCGATAACGGCCGGAAGTGGCCTCGATGGCCGGCCCAGGTGCCTGGGAGGGCGGGCAGGGGGGCAGGAATGAGGGAGAGGCTCAGAGCGGGGGTTGAGGGTTGGGGGGGAGGGCCTGGTTCCCTCTGGCTCCCCTCTTCCCAGCCTGAGGCGAGAACCACCCACAGTCCTACAGAGGCCCCGCCCCACCCACCGGGCCAGGGAGGTCTCCTGGGCTCAGAGCAGGAGAGCGTCCAGGAGGACCCAGCTGTCCACCAGACACCCCTACATCCTCATGCTGCCCATGTCGTCCCTGTGGGGGGGGGTGTCACATGTCTCTCCCAGGGTCACTAACTACTCAGTTCAGACCACCTGGAACCTTCTGCTTCCAGAGGCTGCCTGGCATCAGGCACGAGAATTCCCCTCTGACGACAACGCCACCACCTGCAGCACCCCCCTCCAAGGACCCAGAGCCACTGTCAGCCCTGCTGCCCTGGGAGGGGTCTCCGGGTTCTGGCCTCTCCCCCTTGTCCCGAGAGACACTGCCTGTCCCTGGGGCCTAGAGGGAGACTGCGGCCCCCACCTCCCCAGCCCCACCGCCAGCCCCTGCCTGGAGCCCCATGACACAGCCGCTGCACAGAGCGCGTGATGCTGGCTGCCGCGCTGGCCCTTCCACAAAGCAGGGCCCCCTGGCCACTCCCCAGCCTGGGGCATTCGGGGGGCAGGACGGTGCCTGTCCTCATCTCTCAGCTGTTTGTGGCCAAGGCCACCGCTGCCCCCAGGCAGGGCCCCAGGCTCAGAAGCCCTGAGGCAGGCCGGCTGGGTGCATTCCGGGACTGGCTGGCCAGGGGCCTCGTTGCTGCAGCAGGCCTGGGCAGGGCGGGTGTCTCCTCCATGGGGCCTGAGGACGTGGCCAAGTGCTGGTGCTGTGGCCCAAAGCTGAGCTGCTGGGCAGCTGGAGGCAGCCCCACGCAGGGACACTGCGGACCCCACCCTCTGTGCGGCCAGGTCCTGGGCCAGGATGCCGGCAGCACTCTGTCCTGGGGTGGTCAGGACCACCCGGACGGGCAGATCCTAGGCCAGCTCCATCCGCTGGTGGAGGAGGAGGAGGGGGCCGGGGCCGCCCCACCTGCAGGGCCGGCCCTCCCGGAGATGGGCTCCGAGGAGCTGCGGCTGGCCTCCTTTTACGATTGGCCGCTGACTGCTGTGGTACGGCCTGAGCTGCTGGCTGCCGCCGGCTTCTTCCACACCGGTGAGTCCTGGAGGCCTGGGGGTCATTCAAGGCCCTTCTGGACTGAGGGTTTCCCTTCTCCGTGGAGCGCATGCCCCCAGCAGAGAGCGGCCAGGCCCGATGAAGATGGGCGGGGGTCCTGCAGCCCTGGAGTCTTCTGGGCATGTGCTCCATACTGTGATGAGTGACCCTGGAGAGGGTCCAGCATAGCACAGGACGGTTGGACCCTGGGGGGGTGATCAGTGGGAGCTGGTGGGAGGAGCATTTCTGTGGCCCCGGGGATCCGGGGATGGGCTCTCAGGGGTCTGGGGGTGGGATGTGCCTGCAGTAGCCGCCACCCACAGTCTGTGCCAGGTAACAAATCTGTGGATGGCGAGGGGTGAGGCAGAGGCGAGGACCATCGGGGGATGGACAGAAGCGGGGCCCCCAGGCAGACGGAGCCCCCATGCAGACAGAGCCCCCATGCAGCGGGGCCCCCATGCAGACGGAGCCCCCAGGCAGACGGAGCCCCCATGCAGACGGAGCCCCCATGCAGACAGGGCCCCCATGCAGACGGAGCCCCCATGCAGACGGAACCCCCATGCAGCGGGGCCCCCATGCAGACGGAGGCGTGAGCCTGGAGCCCCCCCCGTTACTGGGAATCATCCTGGGGAGGCGGCTTCTGTCCCCCAAAGCTTAAAGGTGACAGGATGCTCCAGGCCCCCAACCCCACCGCCAGCCTCTGAGCAATGTGACTGCCCACCCTGCTCCTCCTGATAACGTCCTCAGGCCTGGCTAGCACCCAGGCGTTGCTGTTCCCATTCTGCCTTTGAGAAGACTGGGGTGCACGTGAAACTCGGGGAGAACACAGGGCAAAGGGGCTGCAGAGGCCAGTGGGAGCCCCCCAGCCTCTTGGGAGACCTCAGAGAGCCCCTGCCCCTTAAGAAAAGGCCACCTGGGAGCCCCCCATTTGTTTCCAGTCTGGGGGACACGCTGGCCCTGTGGGAGTGGCCAGATATGGGCAGGGCAGCATCTTTGCTCCCCCCAGGCCGACAGGACAAAGTGAGGTGCTTCTTCTGCTACGGGGGTCTGCAGAGCTGGGAGCAAGGGGATGACCCCTGGACCGAGCACGCCAAGTGGTTCCCCAGGTAAGGGCCTTGCGGGCATCTCCCGACTCCACGGTCTGCAACGTCGCGTCTCGGGGATGGGGGCCCCTGGAAACGGCACGTTTGCACGTTCTTCCTTGGTGCTCAGCAGAGGCTGCTTCCCAAACAGCCAGCTCAGCAAGTGCCCTGCGCACTGTGGCCAGCAGGGGCAGGGCCGGGACCCGGCCCAGGGCCTTCCTGGCATTTAAACTTGGCAGCCAAGAAGGGGGTCCCCACAGCCCGAGCCCACCGCCCATGGGGCTTCTAAACTCACTTTCTTCAGGTGTGAATTTCTGCTCCAGACAAAAGGAAGGGACTTTGTCTGCAGCGTCCAGGAGTCTTGCTGCCACCTGCTCGGCTCCTGGGTGAGTCCTGCTTCTCCTTGGGGCTGTGGGGGACAGGTGGCGAGGGTCCCCACCCCCGCTCCTCCATCTCAAGGGCACAGAGGTTCTCTTGCTCCTTCTAGGATCCATGGGGAGAACTGGAAGATGCCACGGCTGCCGCCCCCCCAAGTCCCGCCAGCCCCGCGGCCCCCACTGGTGAGCATGGCTCGTGGCCTGTGGGTCGTGCTCTGCCCCTCGGGCTTCTGCAGCCTGCACTGTGGCCCAGGCCTTGCGTGGCCCTGATGCTGGATCGCAGGGAGAGCGGGCAGAGGGGCCCGGTGTGAGGGTGCTGCCTGGGCTGGCTTCACGGGCTCTGCCTGGCACCGCATGTGTGTCCAGGGCTCCAGGGGAGGCCAAAGCTGTCCCCTGCCATGCGGGCATGGCCAGCCCTGGGGTGGGTGATGGGAGCATGGTGGGGAGAGGCTCTGCGCACCAGGCGGCGTCTGCTGGGGTGGCCACCAGCCACAGCCCAGGAGCCGACCTGGCTGCAGTCACAAGCCCACGGCAGAGCCAGCTGTGCTGAGCTCTGCTCTCCAAGCCTGGGGCTTGTGGGGCAGGAGGCCGAGAGGCCCCGGGGGCTCCAGGGCTCAGCTCCCACCTCTTCTATCCAACTCCAGAGCAGGTAACTGAGCCGCAGGCCCTGAGTTATCAGGTGGGGACGGCGCCAAGTCCGTCTGGGGTTACACAGGGTCCGTGGGATGCTGGGAGCAGCTTTTGGCATCTGCGGGGGCTTCGTCCTGGTGGCTTTGCTGACCATTTACTGCTTTCTCTGAGCGGCGGCCCCTCCAAGAGCATGGCCCCCTCAGACACTGGCAGAGAGGCCCTGATGGCCTCAAAGGCCTCTCGTATTGAGGTGGCCCTGGCGACTGGCCACAGCGGCAGGCCGTCAGTCCCTCTCCCATGACCCCCAGGCCCAGGCTCCTCCCTGCCCTTGGTCCAGCCCCTGTCACGCTGCCTTGCAGATGCCAGGGCTGGCCAGGAGCGGCCTGAGTGGAGCCAGTGGCCAGCAGTGCGGGCTGAGCTCTCGACGCACCTCAGGTGGACCCAGGGGCAGTGCCGTTGGCTGCTGCCAGCTATTATACCTGCATCGCAGCTGGTCCCAGCCTGCTGCAGGACAGGGCTGGGTGGCGGGGGCAGAGGCACCCCCATTCTGTGGACACGGCCTGCCTGCCACCTTGCTCCTGCTCGTCACTTCTGGGCACAGCCTCCCACGTTCCCATCGTGCCTGGCACACAGTCCCCCACACCCCACAGTGTCCGCCACACAGCCCCCCACGGCCCCGCAGCACTGGCAGGCACACAGCGTGCATGGCCGCCGCAGGAGTGCTGGACGGGCAGGGCCCCCCTGGAGTGCACTGTGGGATAAACAGTGGCAGGGAGCGTGGCTGGTCCTGCCCTCCCCAGACGGGTTGGACCTCTCCCTGGCCAGCCCTGCCTCTGCGCCCAGCCGCACCTTCCCCTGGGGGCCTAGGTCTCAAATCTACTCCCGACTGCCCACAGCTGCCGGCCCCCCAGGCCCTGAGCTGCCCACGCACAGAGGAGAGACCCCGTCAGAGGGCGCCAGGGAGCCAGGTGAGGGTAGGACCCACCTGGGGGCGGGGCCAGCTCTTCCGCACCCTGGGGTGCGCGAGGCGGGCGATCCTCTGGTTGATGCTGGACACTTCGGTGTGTCCCCAGCCCACCTCCCCCACCGACCCAGGGCAGAGGGCGGAGGTCAGGGTGTGGGGAGGTGTCACAGGCCTACTCCCTAGAGGAGCCAGCGGGAGCCTGTGGGTCTTTGAGTCCAGGGGCCCGGGACACAGAGGAGCAGCTGCAGCGCCTGCAGGAAGACTGCAGTAAGAGCGGACCTGCAAGGTGTGCCTGGACCGCGCCGTGTCCATCGTCTTCGTGCCCTGCGGCCACCTGGTGTGTGCCGAGTGCGCGCCCAACCTGCAGCTGTGCCCTATCTGCAGGGCTCCCATCCGCAGCTGCGTGCGCACCTTCCTGTCCTAGGCCAGGTGAGGGTGCCTTCCCGTCCCGGGCCAGGTGAGTGAGCCTTCCGGTCCTAGGCCAGGTGACGGTTGGGTCGCAGAGCTACCAGCAGGCAGGTCCTGGCCTGGCTCGGTGTGGGGCTTCTGGTTCAGGCCTCGGAGACAGCAGACGTGCCTGGACAGTGCCCCCAGGCATGTTGACACCGCACTCCTGACACTGGGGCTGACGCAGTGCTGTAGGGACTAGGACAGGCAGTGGCAGCACTTCCTCTGTCCCATACCGCCCAGCCCCGCACACCTCCTGATCAAGCCCATTGCCTTCCCTTCTCGCTGGGGCACCCTGAGGCCACTCCATGCCCCTTGTCACACTGCGCCAAGCCCACTGGGCACGTCAGGGCCTTAGTCCTCCCTGTGGCTGGGGGCAGCACCAGCTGGGCACGCAGGGCTGCAGCCAGGCCGGGGGGAGGATGGCCTTGGAGGTGTGTGGAGAGTACATGGTGCCATTATGAAGGGCCCAGGACCCCGGACGGAGCCTCTGCCTGGGAGCCCGGCTGGAGGAAATGCGCAGTGGTGGGGTGTGTGTGTGGAGGGCGGGGGAGGCTTGATTGTCATTAAAGGGGGGCAGGAGCCTGGGCTTCTCAGGGTTCTCAAAGCCTGTATGCCCTGAGATCACCCCAAGAATCTTCCAGGACAGAATGTCAGGGGAGGGAGGCCCCTGGATGAGCTGATGGGGAGCTGCTGACTCACCTTCTCCTTCCCTAGGCGCCGTGAGTGCGGCCTCCGCGTGGGCACTCTGCCCACCTCAGCCTGTCCCCTGGACCATGCAGCAGGCCTGCTGAGGACGGCTGAGCCGCTGTCCAGCACCGACCTCCCGATTCCGACCGGCAGCCCAGGGTGGAAGGCGGAGCTGCGGGGGCTTTGTGTGGAGTGGGGTGGTGGTTTTACATAAGTCTGGATGCTTTCGAGGATTCACAATAAAGAGACGGGTTTCCTCTGGCCGCGTTGCTGCAGGACAGCCAGCCCCCTCCCCACCACCCTGCCCCCCGA